TGTATCAACATATAAAAAAATAAGTCCTTGAGAGCCTCAGCTTGAAGAAAGAGGTTTATGGTTAATATGTCTGTGTCTGTGTTCTCAGTGGAAAAGGGTGATGTGTAGAAGTGTAAGTGAAAAGAAAACACAAGCCTGATGCCATAAGCTCTTGGATAAAAATGTGCTTCACTGGCTTAACGTTTAAAAAGCATTGGCTATCTTCAGTGAGGTTTTGCTGGGCTGTGGTATCAGGCACTCTTTCTTGCTGGCATTTTAAACTCACTTTATCATTGATGAACACTGATTCTTCTGCCCAACAGTAAGGCAGGCAGCCATCTGCCCATCAAGCTGAAGGGACAGGAGGCAGTGCTATAGCTTCCCAGGGAACATGAGTTAAGGACCATATTTGATTTAATTACGAGGGGTAAGATGATGTTAAGTACATGACACGTAGTGCTATAGACCTGTTTTCCTGATATTGATGGATTGTGGTGTTCACCAAGCAGCCTGATTTGCAGTTACTCAATTTGCAATGGGTAAATTAATTGAAACAAGGGTAACTTACTGCATTGTGGACAAGTACACGGGTTTGGGTTTTGACTATATTTAATGTGAACTGTAAAGTGATGTTGATTTTTAGTGTTTCATTTGTTCGCCCACAGTAGGTGACATAGCTGTTCTGGGTAGCAGCCACTGAAGTCAAACCAGTCTATTTACTATGAACTTTTTACCTTGTTTCTAAGTAGCTATTCTTTAGGTTCACCCATCAGCTCTTCCTCATAATGTTTCCAAACAGCAATCTATTTCATTCTCCTCCTTTGTCTTTGGGTTACTAAATCTATCATCTTACTGGAAAGCTTACGGTGTTGTCACAAACTGCACATTATGCCCTGGATTAAGGCTGTTTAGCTTGAACGTGACAAGTTGTTTAAAAACAGACTGGTTTATGCTTTGTATTCATTCTCCCCTCCAAAACTGCCTTCCATAACAATGTAAATAAAGAACTCCCAGAACTGATACAGCAGAGCTGGCACGGTTAGAAGAAAAGGTTCAGCTATTACTCAATTGACATTAATGCAACATAAATCTTAATTATATTGAAAAAGCATCAAACCGCAAGGTTTTAGGAGATGGAGTCATTAGATAACAATTTACAGTTGAACATTTATCTTCAAACAAATTCCCAGGCCTCCTTAATTTCCTTTGTAGTTGGAAAAGGGTTGGAAACCAGAGGTGTAATATGGATTCACTTTATGCCTGGCTCTTTTAGCAGTATCCAAAGTTAACATGGGCTAGAAATTGCTAAAATAATAATTTCCAATTGTGCAGATCATGGGCTTAACCACATCTGCACAGGACAAGGTTGCAGATGGTGTTAACAGCTCCTGGGTTACTCCTGCATGCTGTCCTTTAGCTGCGAGGAGCCAGGTCTCTGTCCTGCTCACCCACATCTGCGTCGCAGGACCGTGACGTGCAAGCCGTGCCCAAAGTGGATACTGGGTGTGAAGTTCTTCCTTTGAATCCACACCCACTAGAGTTTTCTCTCCCCAGAGACATTTTCATTTCCAGCTGCTGAATGGCAGCAGGATTCGAGATGTTGTTTCCAAAATACTACTTTTTTTCTTTTGATCAAATTGCTTTCAGATAAAAACAGCAAATAAAATGGATGACAAGGGATTTTAGTGATTTCTTTTCTCTCTCAACTTTGATTTACCTCATAGTTGCCACAAGAGTGCTGTAATTCCGTGTGCTGCACCACTGAAGACTGCAGGCAAAGGATTAAAATAGAATCATGGAATGGTTTGGGTTGGAAGGAAACCTCGAAAGCTCATCTAGTCCAGATCCCCTTCCGTGAGCAGGGGCATATTCAACTAGATGATGTTGCTTAAAGCCCTATCCAAACTGACCTTGAATGTGTCCAGGGATGGGACATACACAACTGCTGTGGGCAACCTCTTCCAGTGTAGGCAATAGGCAGTTTTTCCCTTTTGGTGTGAAATATTAAGAAATCCTTTAAATTTAAAAAAATAAATATCAGTATTAAATTCCTTTTTATACAGAATCTTTAGTTTCTCACATTCTTACTTGAAAAGCTCCAGCCTGAGCTTTATGTGGGAGCTCTGTGCATTCGCCCTTTGACACCAGCCCTCCTCTAGATTGCCTAACAGCATCGCTACCAGCTCATTAGTCACTTGGTTAAAAACTTGGCCTCCCTCTCCTACACCTTCATTAGGACATTTCTTCCTCCCTAAGAAACCCTCTGCTTTCTCACCACTGCTAGCAGAAGAGGTAAAGCAAAATCATCACTCTACATTGAACACATCCAGGAGAAGTCCATCAAAAGACACCAGAGGATTAGGCAAGGCTGGTGTCTAAAGCAGCCCCCTGCACCCCGATGCTGAAGCCTGCTGAGTCTCAGGCTCTGCCCGGAGGTCAGACGACTACAATTAGCCAAGAGGGGTGGCACAGGTAGATAAGCTTTAATTGCTCAGTCTGGTTTCCAGGGAGCTTCATCAGTGGTGTGGTTTCTCTCTGGAGTAGCTTGAATTGAGGTTAGAGGGAATAAATGTTGCCAACCCCATAGGGAGAGGAGCAAGTGAGGCTTGGAGCTCAAGACCTGTAGATGGGCTGGTGAGAGGCAGCGCTGTACAGTAGGAAAGAGGAGATCTCCAGGCATGGCTGGAGATGCAATTACATGTTTGGGCACAGAAATGTTTGTGCAGCAGGGGAAAGTTTGATAGGAGTGCTGAAATATTTAATGCACTTGGTTTATCATCCTTTTCCCCTAAAGCCTTTAAAAAAGAAAAGGCAGTAGAAAGGAGAGGGAGCAGTTGTAGTTTCACAGATAAAAAGTGAGCTCTTGCTTTTTATTGTTAGCATTGCTGTCACCCAGCAAACGCTCCTCTGGAGCTGGCTGACCTGCTGCAGAAGGCTATAAAGTGGCAGAAAGGCTACATCACTTCAGCTAACAGAATGAAGGACATGGTGTTATGGCTTTGTTGGGGACAAGGATGCTCTACGTGTGCTGAAGCAGTGTTCTGCATCCGTGTTTATTGTTTGAGTGCTCTTTTCTTCTTCATTGAGTGTATTTTGTCATTGGTGGTCTTCTGTCGATCACTTAGCCATTGCTACCCAGAAAGGCAGGAATACGAGCAGGTTTTATATCTGAGACTATAAATATATGATCAGATCTTGGCTGTGTTAGCAGTCTACACAGAAACCTTTTCTGACTCAATGACTGGTAGCAAAATGTTTCTGTTCCTCATTTTAATACTTTAAATGCTGTGATTTGCAAGACTGTAAGAGCTGTTTGCAGCATTCATGGACTGCCAGCCATTCTGCAAAGGGTTTTCTGGAATTTTGGAGGATTTAGTACCTGGTTTCCTTTACTATGTGGGCAACACCAATAACTTCAAAACCTGTTTAGGAGCCTGGCCTCAGCTTTTCCACCAAAATGACATGTTTTGTGGAGAATGAAAGTGGTACTTAAATGTGCAGACTACTATTTTGGGGAATTGGGAAAGGGTGGAAGACACAAGGTGGTCTGAATCCTAAGGAAAGGACATGTGGTGGGTCACCTCCCGTGGGGCATCACTAACCCTCTGCTCTCTGCTTTCCACAGGCCCTCCAGGGAGGCGAGGGAAGCCCGGTCGGCGCGGAGAACCCGGTAAGCATCACCCTGCCCCAGTAACGATGCTGGGTACCCCAGGGGTGTCTGTGGGCTGTATGGGAGCCTTTTGGTAGTGATGCTGGTCACCTTCATCTAATGGGCTGCGGAGTGGGGGCTTCCCACAGCCCTGCGTGATGGATACAGAGGGTTTTATAGCAAAAAACAAAATAAGGAAAAGAATCCAACTCAACACATTCACTGATGCTTCATATTTTATCCATCCTTCTGTTGTTCCCTTGTAGCATTCAGACCCATGTTATCTCATCCAACAGTGAAGTGGGGCTGTTGAATTAGCACGCAAACATAGAAACCCCTCAGCCATGCTTGATCTGTCTTGTTCCCTGCATGTGAGGCACTGGAATAGGTTGCCCAAGGAAGTTGTGAATGCTCCAACCCTGGAGGTGTTCAAGGCCAGGCTGGACAGAGCCTTGGGTGACATAGTTTAGTGTGTGGTGTCCCTGCTCATGGCAGGGGGGTTGGAACTGGATGATCTTAAGGTCCTTTCCAACCCTAATTAATCTATGATTCTATGTGAATGTGCTCATGTATTGCCTGATGGTCCCATGTGTGTGATGGATGGCGACTGCACTTCAGAGTTGGGGATAACCAAACCTCAGCCACCAGCCTTAGGCACATCCCATGAGCGCTCAATGTGCCCTCAAACTGGGTGAAACCACAGACTGACCTCAGTGGGAATCTTTATTTGAGCTGTTTAATTTTATGCCTCTCTCATTTTGGTATCTGGTGGTTTTGTTGTTTTTCCTGTCTTGTGAAATGAGAAAGCACAGATCCCATTTCAGCTGGGCAGAAGTGCTGTTTACATTCTGCTGTTAGGGCTGAAGTGCTGTTGGAGAGGGGAGAGATGTGGTCGGCACTGCTCTTTCTAAGGAAATCAGGCAGGAATGTACCTAGAAAGCCACACAATTCTGCAGCTGCCTCTGCGTGGTGGGAAGCAGCAGATGAAACTTTACGCTCCTTGGATCTTGAGTTCTTGAATGTTGGGAGAATGGATGGGGTCCGGGTAGATCTTTACTTACCAAGGAGGCTGTTTCCTGCTGTCACTATAGCAAATACACGGCTGGGTTTTCAAAGGGCACCGTAGCTTTCTGATCACCACTATTCTAAACAATGCTTCTAACTCTGGGGAGATCAGGGGGGTTTGTGCTGTGGACCACAGGCTGATCCCTGTGGAAGGCTGATCCCTGTGGAAGGCAGCCCTTTCCCTTGGGAGAATGGATGGGGTCCGGGTAGATCTTTACTTACCAAGGAGGCTGTTTCCTGCTGTCACTATAGCAAATACACGGCTGGGTTTTCAAAGGGCACCGTAGCTTTCTGATCACCACTATTCTAAACAATGCTTCTAACTCTGGGGAGAGCAGGGGGGTTTGTGCTGTGGACCACAGGCCGATCCCTGTGGAAGGCAGCCCTTTCCCTTCTCTCTTCCACTGATGGTATTTCACAGCGCATTATGTGTGTTCTGAGATACTTTTGCTCCTGAAGCATCAGGAATTACTCATGGCCAAGGGACGGATACTGCACTTGGGGTGCTAACAGATTCCCAGCTAGCTTCATTAAGCCCCCTTTCACTAGCAGCTGGGCTGTAGGAATAGCCATCAGGTAGCTTTGATTTTCTTTTGTTTGTTGTCTCTTAAGTATCTCTGAGGGCGTTAAGGAGCACAGTGGAGTTCAGCATTCATCTAAGGGCAGCTGGTGAGGCCAGCCAAGGAATTTGGGATTTATATGCAGGCATTTATTGTCCAGGATGTGTCTCTAGTCCATACAAAAGTTTGGGAGGTAGCACTGAGCTTGAGCATGCCCTTACCCTTCGCTCCTTTCTCCCTATTTCATACAAGAGCTTCTGCAAAGCAATGTTTGGTCTTGTGCTGTAGCACATCAAGTGCCACTTGAGCATCCCTCTGATGAAGGGGAAGGCTGCCAGGGAATCGATGCAGGCCCAAGCATTATAAAATAAGAAGGAAAAAAGTCATTAATAACAACTGATGATCTTTTTGAACTTTCCTGTAACCATGGAGGAAAATTGAGGACACTGCAGCAGACATAAAGTGCACACACACACACTCCCAATGGGGCACATCAGTTAAATCCATCTAGTGCACTGCAGCCCCACGGATTGCTCTGCTGCGCTGTAGATAGGAACATGGAGAGCAGACATCCCTCTGTATATTGGTTTTGGCCGAGCTGCCAGATGTTTATTTTCTCAGATAGTTCAAATATATATTCCTATATTTGTTTGAGGATCTGACCACACATAAACCAGGTCCTTGTTCCTTCGCTACAGCTGATAAACGTGAATAAAACTTTGTTTGTGTAGCACGATAGTGTCCATCCCCAGGGACTCTGTGTGGTTATTGCTTTACAGCCTCCAGACAAATGCTGTTACAGAGCCAGAAGGCTCAGTGCTGGTCTCAACCCTGCCAAGGGGAGCGTTTTTTCTGGCAGTTGTTGAAATGATCATGTTGAAAAACTTTGTTCTGATTCATATTGAAACTTTCAATAGCAATCTCTTAGAAACAAGCAGAGAAGCTTTTAAGAGATCATTCTGTGCCTTTTAAATTGCATCCTCCTCTTGATTTAAACCAAGCCTGAATTTTACCATTTTTTCTTCTGCTGTGATGAATTCAGATAAAGAAAAGATTAATCCAACAGCTCTGTTTCTCTAAACTAAGAATTCATCATCCTGAAAGCCTACAGGGACAACAGCTCTCTGCCATAGAAAGACACCGTACAATAAGATTCATTTTAAACCATTTCTAGGGGAAAAAAGCAACTATTCAGGCCATTTGGAAATAAGGCAAGCCTGGCTGTATGTGCTTTGAAAAGCACTTGCTAAAATGTGAGGGTCAACCACCATTGCTGCTTCCTGATCCTCCCCAGGGAGCTGCTGAGGCCAGGCGGTGGGTCCCATTGGGGCTTGGCTTGGTTGATTTTGTTGTAGAGAAGGATGAATACAGCAAGGTTTCCCCCTCCACGGAGAACCTGTGGGCAGGGAGAGCTGCTCCAAACTCCAGCCTTTCCTTGGGCTTCCCATGGTGGCATAAATGTCACAGGCATCTCTTCCCTGAGCTCAGGCCAGGTACCTGGGGGAGCATTTCTGCTGCTATCAGCCCAGCTAAACAAACCAAGGAGTAACTGAGCCAAACAGCTCTGTCCAACTCGTTTTATTTACTCCTGTCATTATCTGGCCCCATGGGCATCGCCTCCTGCGACAGGGAAACAACAGGACACGTGTCCTAGAGGTGGTCACAGGGGTTGAATCAGTGCAGTGACAGTCACCTGAGTGCCATCAGCGTGGAAGAAATTACTTTAAAGAACCAACTTATTCTGCTGTTGCTATCATGAGGTGAGGAAATCTACACCAGCAGCATCCTTGGAGAGCTGTCACTCACTGGGCTCTCTTCAGTCCAGTCCAAGCTCCATCCCTTCCTACCAGGATCAACGCACAAGTCCCGTCATCCGTATTCCTGCTCATGAGCATCAGTGGTTTCTTGCACAACTGGAAAACAAGCACAGCCTTGCAGACCCACTGTGAGCAGTTGGTGTATAAAACGAAAACTACATTTTGATACAACCTTATGTGGGATTTGCAGCCTTCTCTGAGCACGAGGTGGAAGGTTTTGGAGCACTAGCAGTTGTGGTTGGTCCTGACAGCCAGCCTGCACGTCTCAGATACAGTTCCCTCCCCGTGCCAAAGGCAAAATCATGGGTGATGTCATGTTAGCTTATTTATTCAACATGATGTGTCCCAGTGAGGACACAGTTCAACTGCTGGAGTGAGCATCTGTGAAATAGCACTGATTTTAGCAGGGAACCTGGGAGGTTTTGCTTCCCCTCTTGCTTCCAGCTGGTGCTGGGTGAGCAGGATGGGGTACAGTCATGCAGCCCGCCCAGGGTTTTATGTTTGTTTGTTTTCCAAGATCCATCCATACCAGGGTGTTCCTGAAGGGTGGATGAATGGATCCAGGATTTGGGCATTTAGTTAAAGTATTGGTTCAAAGTCTCTGCACAACTAGATGGTGGGAGATGATGCTCGTATCTGCCATAACAACATGCTACTTTCTTCCCCTGGCTTGAAGATTGATCCAAACACTGATCTGAACCTCAAAATCCCTCAAGGCAGGAAGCAGGAATAAATACACCTGAAATGTTAAGTTTGGGAAGTCTCTGGGTATGTCTCTGCTCTCCTCATGAGAGGAAGAGCTGGTTCTGAATACAGACACCCAAAGGTGATGGCTGCAGTGTTGGGTAGCACATGTTTGCATCAGCAGAAGGGAATAAACATTGGATGTTTTAGGCACAAAATCACCCACGCAGGTAGTCCCAGAAGGGCATTTTTTGTTGATTTCACTGGAAAATGTTGACCTGTCAAAATTGCTCATTCTGGCAGAAAAAAACCTGTTTGCAAAATTTTTCCATTTCAAAAACACTTGTAGGGGAAAGGTTTTGAGGTGGTTGAAGTGGGATTAAAGTCCTCTGCCCCACCCCGCTGCTGTTCATTTCCAAACTTACATTACGCTACAACTGTTTCTTTAGTTTGGATTTCTAACCAAGTTTGGCTTCTAAGAGGGCTTTTTGTGGGGTGTGTTTGGGTTTTGGTTGGCTTTGGGTTTGCTTTGTTTGCTTGCATGGTTTTGGTTTTACTCTTACAGCTATTCTGTTTTCAGAAATACCCCAATTTGGAACAGGGAAGAATCTAAAGCTCTTTTTAAGGAACAAAAGCAAAGCAATTTCTATGCAGAGAAATGGTATTGCTCTTCCAGCCCCGCACGTACTCAAACCCTGTATTTTATGCATTTAAGACCCTTCCAAACCCCTTAGCCGTGAGACTGTGTAAATATACAGTCGTAGCTCTTCAGTAAGTGTGTGTATATGTGGGTAAATCAGGCAGAACTTTGTATTTATTTGGGGATTTTCATTGCTCCCTGTATTTCTCATGACGTGTTGCACATCTGTGCCCTCATACCCACGACTGCTTTGGCTTCTACTGAACTTCAGAGGCAAAAAAGCTAATCTGTCCCATATTTGCTCTCAATAATGAGCCTCTCTGCTAGGAGAGAGTGTTCCCTGTGCACAGCAGTGCTGAGGCACACACTGGGATTATTAAGGTCAGCCCTTAGTGACAAATACCCCTTTTCAGACCAATGTAGAACCAATATCTGCAACTTCCTATGACTGTAGCAGTTGTCCTCCTTCCTTACTGACCATGTTACTCCCCTTATAGCATCACGGATTAATAACTGTATGTATGCACATATTGTGTACGTGTATATATACATATGGTTTTTAAATCATCAGTTTTCTAAGGCTTCAGCTGGCCACAGATATCTGTAGTTACCTTAGGGATGGATCCTTTCCCCATTAAGGGCAGCAGCCAAGTCCCCTCTGACTTTTGCTGTGCTGTTAGAAGTGCCTGGCTGGTTTTGTTTCTTCTGCCTGGCCGTGCTCTCTCCTGTCTTGGCAAGCTTGCATGATAAATGATTTGCAGACTAAAGAGAAATGGTAGCTTATTCCAAAATTCCCAAGCTGCAAAAATACTTGGTAATAGATGACTGTGACCTGTCATTTCCCGTATGTTTGTGTGCTGCTGGGGATGATGCTGCTGTGACCCGCTAGGTCTTTGGACGTATGAAATAACATTAGTTAGTCAATGAGGAAATCTGGGTCATTTATTTGTAATGAGTTTTGATTTTCACCTCCTACTAGCACAACTGGAATCTCTTGGTGTTTCTAAATATCTCCGTGCCTTTGAAGATTCAGGTACGAGGTTCACTCATAGCAGTAGAGCAGTGATTTATGCTGCAGGTCAGGGAAAAGCACAGCACATTTCCCTTGTTTAGAGCAAATCAATCATAGAGCAAAACCTCTGCATTAGCAGGTTATTTTGCCTTTCTTCTCTTCCTTCTGAAATAAGCCCCCAAGTTAATTTGTTGAAGAGTTTTAAATACATGCAGGCTGTTTCCAACTTTTACTCATTGTCATAAGAATTTCCAAGCGGTTTCATTCTTCCTTTCAAGCTCCCAAACTGATTCTCACTGGTCAAAATTATTAGCAGTAAATTCTGGCAAATTTCTCTGAGAAGAGCACGTCTCTTGTGCAATGTGCCCGCATCAAGGAGATGGCTGGGTGGGGGCAGCCCCTAGATACGTGATTAACTTTGGGATTTAGCATTGGCTTGCAAAATCTTTGACTTTCTTCCATAGGAAACAAGTGTCTCGTGGCTTGGCTTGTGAAAAAAACATGTTCAGCGAGCCAGAAAGTCATGTTGTGCTTGGGAGGAGGAAAGATTAATTCAATGGATTTAACTTTATGCCTTGATGAAGATATCTTTAGCCCTGTTTGGCCAATAACACAGCTAAAGATGAGCATAACTCCACCGATGCGAATGGAGAGCATCCTGTGTTGCATATACAGCCACACACATGCACCCTCCAACTTTGATTTCTGCGTTTGAGAGGAAAGTGTTTTAAAAGAGCACTTGTCTGCACTTGTTGGAAGAAAAACAGTAGCTGAGAATAGGAAAAGGCAACGAATTCCAAGGAGATTATAATTGGTATATGATTGAAATCCCATATTAAAATAATTTCCTGCCCATTTCTTATTTGAGACTTAGTTTTGACTTTTCTACAGAAGGGGTTTTGTGGGTGGCTTGGCATAAGTGAGTTAATAAATCAGGTTTATGATTCTCAGTTAATAAATTGGCGTAGAGCCACCAACTTCTGTATTCATAAGAAATTAAACCCAAGAAAGCAAGCTAAGAGCCCGTGTGAATTTTAGTGCTAAAGAAAACAGGCTTCTGGGCATGGAAGGAGATTTGGAGGTTGTCTCCTCCCCTGCATGCTGGCCGGGTGCTTGGCCATGGTGCGCAGAGCTGACCGCGTTAAGCTGACAAAGGCAGGTTAATGGGCTAATTCTTGGCAGCAGGCGCTGCCTGTTGTTACTTGCTTCTTGCTTTCAGTCCTTATTCTTAGGCTTTTCTTGGGTTTTGTTATTCAACTTTTCAATGTCTTAATTTTTAAACAAATCTCGAAAACCTCAAAAAGGCATTAGCTTGAAATATGCTTCTTGGTTTATATTCTTGAATAATACAACATGAACCAAGCTGATATTTATTCCCCCCTCCCCATTCTAATTTTTCCCACATTTTTTCTTTTTTAATTGTGATTAGTTTCTGGTTTTGATCAGGCAGGAAATGGAGCATGAAAAAGCCCTAAACAGAGAGCTATAGGCTGCCTCGCAAACGGGAGTGAAATGTGGATTGCATTAGATTAGGGGCTCAGCGTTCACCTCTGCAGCACCAGCCTGGGTGAGCAGTGGGAACGCTGCAGAAATCCGAGTGCCAGGCGGTGAAGATCCCTGCACCACAGGGGAATACGGGGGGATTTACTATATTTATTACTTCTATTAATCACGGTTTCAAACTGTGGCACCGGTACCCAAAGCCTGTTGTAGATGTGATGGATTATTCCCTGGGCAATATGCTTGAGCCCACCGTCTGCCTCCGAGCATAGCAGGGGCCAAGTGGAGGTGACACAGGACTGTGGGGTTGTGTGACCTGTTTTGAGGTCAGGGAGGGATGGGGACCAAATGACAGTGATGTTTGGGATCTGTGGCAGCTGTAGCAACATCCTTGCTGGGTGCTCTGCACTGCACTGCTCCTTTGGCTTTTGCAAGTGTATTTCCAGCTTCCCTTGTGTAAACTGAAGAGTAAGCTCCATGGGGAAAATGCACTTTTTGCTCATAAAATTCCAGCTGTGTCTGCTTCTTGCTGGCACTGCTGTGTGGCTGCACATGAAGCCTCAGTCTCTGAACATGGGTGATGCCTTGTGACATGCCCAAGGTTTCATGTGGGGAAAGGGAACAGAGTCACACTAGGGAACAGAGTGGTTTTATACCCCTTGTAAGTACTGCTGTGCCAGTAGCGTGGGTGAGATGGTCCCACAATGGGAGGATGCAGATGGTGTTTAAGTGTATGTGGGAAGTCATTCCATTGGAATTGAACTGAAAAGTACTGAACTGTTCTAATTTTGATTCCTGCTTTGTGCTGTTACCAGGTTATGCATTTTCATTGTAATGAAGTGACTTTTGTTTTCTTTGTTTCTTCTTTTGTTTTCCAGGACCTGCAGTAAGTATCGTGGATTTTACTGTTGGATCAACAAAGTTAAGGCTTCCCCTTCCACCCTTACCCAGCCTTTCCGTGTCGTTGCAAAAGCACAGCATAATTTGGTAGAGGTGTGTCAGGAAGCAAAATTGGTACCAGATGCTGCTGGGCTTTCTGATGCTGTTTTGTTCACATTTGTAGACAAATAAAGTGGGGGGGGGGAGGTTTAAAATGTTTCACTTGCTGCCCCGAGGGACTTCCGGTAATCTTAAACCCAGAAAATACTCAGTTAAAAGAGTTTTCCCTTTAAAGAGTTCTTTAACTTGCTTCCATTTAGCAGAAAGTGCTGTACTAATATTTTAACGTTAGGGGGTTTATTGGTCCTACAGCTCTGTCTTGCTTTTCTTATCTGTTGTGTTTCCATCATTTAATTTGGGTTCAGTAGGCTCACAAGGGGGACTAGAGGGAAAGCCATAGCTTGCTTGCTTCTCTTTGAAGTCTTGGGGGGAATAACGAGCATTCCAGCCAATGCAACCAGAGAATTTATGGGGAATTTGTTGTTCGAAAGGGTAATCATTGAAAATGTGTCAACTCCTTCTTCCAAATGTTCAGCCATGCCTTTGGTTGTGCCACCACCACGTCCAAATCTGATGATCTCCTGCTGGTTTTGGAGCGAGACGGCAGAGTTTCATTTGTGCCCTCTGAGTTGCTGAGAGATTGTTAAAAATGAAGTTATGCACATTAGGTGCTTCTGGTTTTCTACCTTCCGTCCCCCAGAGGACGAGGAGAGGTGCAGGCTGTTTGCAGCCACGTTTCCTTCACCGTCATTGCACTAAGATGTTTCTTCATGTCATTCTCTTCCTATAGAGCCTCGCTGGGTTGAAAGGGATCATTTCAGGAAACACAGATTTGCTGACTATGCCTGGGCTAATTAATTTCCAGTTCTGAAATCGCACTAAAATCCAAAAGGTGACAAGGGAAGGCACACGAAGCACGGGGGGCTTTCACAGTGCCATGACTTTGGTTCTTTTGGGTTGGCAGCTCTGCATTTGGGTTTAGTCAATAGCTTTCAGCCCTTTGCATTTTTGCTTCTATTCCGAGTTGATCTTTTAATGTAAAGACTTAAGAGGAATTTAAGCAAAATAATTATTTGGCCAGGTTTTGAAGGAGCAAATGGAGAAAATTTAACAGCTTTGGCTCAGTCATCCTTCGAGGAGATCTGAATGAATTCGCTCTAAAAGTTGTGCCCAACGTTAGCAATAGATCCAGGACTCTGGCTCCAGAAATGCAGACAAATGGATTTTTCTTGTTAGTTGCTGTTAAGAAACGTAGCCTGTCACTAAATTCATTTTCCTGTAAATACTCTGATGTTAAAGACTGCAGCGCAGCCTCTCCAACCCAAACAAAAGTGGTTCTGTGATTGACCTGGGAATTTCCGCGGGAGCACCATCGGGAGGTGACTTCCCATTGCCCGTGGCAGGTTACAAGTGAAGAGGACACAGTCTATTTAAAACCCCAAATATACATCATTTAAGGGACGTTTTCCTCTTGATTAAAGTACTTTGGCTTATTTTAAATGGCTTTATTAACCATTTTGGTTCTGCTCCTGCTCAGAGGCTGTTTCCAGCCCACACGCAGCCGGCTGGGTTTTGCTTCCTCACGTGTGCTCTCTGCTCACTTTTATTGGATGTGATTTGACATCGGCAACATATGGTGCACTATTAATTTTTCTTTGTCTCTGGTTGGTTTCATTTCCTGGTTCCCACGGCACTATTGAATTGCAAAAGGAGCACAGGGGACATTTAACACAAACAAGACCTTTATTTTCCTCCTCTCCCCTTTGCCCATCTTTAAAAGACAACTCCTGGTTTAGCCTAATTTAAGTCCTGCATTTTTAGCATAAGCAGCGTTTGCCAGAGACTTCTTTAAACATAATATATAATAATAAAAGTCCTAGAACCCACAGAACCACAATATTATTTTATTTCAACAGTACTGTGTTTAACTCTATTAGTTTCTTCTGTGTCTTGATTTTGGCCATAAGGAATCGATTACATCTTACATGTATAGCATTGCACTCTGCTAGAACTCTATCCTCAATTCTCTTGTTCCCTAGTAGCAGTTGTTCTGGTATTTTATTTTTTGGCTGTCATAAGCTAGTTGTGTGTATGAAAGTATTGGAATTTGTGGGACATGATTTGTGGCTGTTGGATGATTGATCGTCCTGTCTGTGAGTAAGGGGTATTCTGCTCAGATGTGCTATAAACCCTCTGTTTTGGAGGGTATTAAAATCACATGCTGGGTAGGAAATTCCTACAATTGAAGGGTAGACTTACCACAGATTGTAATTAAACATTTACAGTCCCAGATATTAACAACACTTTATGTATTAGCATGCTGGCTGGGGAACTCACCAGCAAGCGAGGGCTGGGAGTTACAAGTGTTTCCCATTTATCTGTGTGTGCTCCAGTGCCATACGTCTCCATAAAAATCCCCCTGTACACTATCCCAAGACTGTAATTTGTTAAATAGGTGGTTGTTGAAGTCAGTGTTGTTTCTGGCTGAATCAGTAGTGCTGAAGGAGGCATTAAGAGCTGCAGGGGCACTTAGCAAGAGGGAGAACCCCTGTGCGTGGTAGGGAAGGGGCTGCCAGAGCTATTTCATGCCATAAGAGATGCATGAATCTGACTGTATATCCACAGCATGCTGACATAACCTGTGTTTATGGTAGCAGATGACATTGCTGTACCACATACACACTTTACTGCCTACTTGTGTACCAGCTAATACTTAACAGCTCCTTCCCGGGAATCTGGCTTGCAGCAGGCTCCTCTGCTGTAGCTCACAGCGTGTTTAATGGCAGCTCGAGCTGTAAACGCCTTTGGGACCCCCCTGGACGAGAGCAGAAAAGGTGAAATATCCTGAATGTGTTGTGTTTTATTCTGCTGATCTTGCAGGTGTTAGTAGCATCTTAAGGTCTTTCCCCGTAGCATCAGCTTTTCATTGCAAACTAAAGCAAAGCTTAGAGGTGAGCTGGGACAACTGTCTCCATGAGGAAACTAATGGATCTAAATGGGGGAAGCCTTCCCTGAGTCAAGTGCTGGGATAGGAGTTTGAAGCTCGGTGGTTGCTCCTGCGCAGATGGGCTGTCCTGGCTGCTGGCTTGGCAGTACCATCACCTCCCCAGCCTGTCCCCAGCTCCTGGGTGTTCTCATACCTTTTGGTGCCACATCCCAGAGCAGGTCTATGGCCAGGATCTAGTGCATAGCCTACACATCCATGGCTTCAGGGCCAGCAGGGGCTGAGCACAGGCAGAAGGGATATGGGGTGAGCTGGCAAAAGCCTTGGTAAGTAGCTGATGGAAATCTGGGCAAAACATGCCATAGGCATGACCTTTCTGATAGGAAAATTGTCCTGAGAGGTGTCTCTGGAGAGATGGCTGATGGCCCCATCTCCTGCCTGCTGCTATGTGTTGTCATGCTGCTACAGTGCATTGACTGACTTGTTATCTCACTTGTTCCCCCACCACAGGGGCAGTCAGGACGTGATGGTTACCCGGTAACTCTGCTATTCCTTTTATGTTAATTCTCTTCTACTCTGCAGTCCTCTCCATCTTTTCCGTGACACTTGATTTTCTTTGCCTGTCTTGGTTCCTTTTTCCCCCCTTTTTTCCCCTCCCTCTCGATCAGTGATTTAGCCCTAAAACAGAGGAGCCTGAGTATATTCTCCATTAATGTTTATGGATGTGAAATACTTGAGCTCATGGTGTTATTCACACTCTTGCCTAAGAGTTCACTGTACTGCAAGGTTAGTGAAGGCTTTGGGGTTTGTCCCACTCACAGCTGTAGATGGCCAAATCTGGGGACACTGATGGAAGAGCTTCAGGTGTTGAGAGAGCTCCTCATTTGCCCATGTCCAAAGTGTTTTCCTGGGAGCAGAGGTGTCCTGCTGAGCCTGTTGGCAAGGAGAGGTTTTGCAGAGGCGAGGAGGAAAGGTAATTCAGGAATCACTGCCCTTCCCATGCCCATGGGCAGCACTGAGATGCTACTGTGGTAGAGGGAGGTGTCTTCTGGGGGAGGAATAAAGCTGGTAACTTGGGGCTGTTAAAGGCTCTGAGCTGCCTTCTGCAGGAGGAGGGAGACCTTGTTCTAGGCAGATCCCAAACAGCAACTCCTGTAGTCCCCGTTAATGCCCTTGATGGCTGTGGTGCTCTGAGGGGCTTGATGGCTCGTCAAGGAGTAACTCCTGTGCAGGTACTTGGTGTAATGACTTGGTAAAAATCATTGTGTGGATCCTTCGTGCTCACAGCACGTTTCCAGCTCTGCTTCTGCTGTTTGAATGGATGCAGTGAGTCCGTGCTGCCTGATGCTCTAGAAGGAGCTGCTTGGCTATTTGCCCTGCTGTTCCATTTATAAAGTGAAGCAGTTAGCCAGCTCCTTCTTGTGGTTAATGCCCTTTTTTCCCCCTTTTTTCTTCTATTTCCCCAAAGGATCATGTTAGGAAAACTCACTCCTTGTCTCTGACACTTCATGCCCTGGTCCGGTTCCCTCTGAATACCCATAAACCACAGAATCATCAATTGGGGTTTTGTGTGTGATGGAGCTCGAGGGAGGAGGATTGGAAGGGAAATAGAGCTGTGTTCAGTTTTCCTTCCCCTGGATCCCTGTGAGCCTCCCTGGGGGGGGGACAGCAGCATTTCCCCAGTGGCACCAGTCCCAGAAAGAGGTTAACTTTGCAGAACAAGCTGTTGCAGCTGTAACACGAAAGTACTTGGATCTCCATCAGTTGATACGAATAAATTCAGCTGAGTATGAGGGAGCGCTGGGGAAGCCTGTGAGGGAACAGGGCTGCTGGTTTCCAGGGGGTTTGTCTCCCTCAGGCGGTACCTGCACGAGTGGTCTGTTGAGAATAAAAGCTTAATATATTAGGAATTAAGACGGGAGACTGTGCTCCTGTTGGGCTCTTAATAGCAGTTCTAGGGCAGCTTTCATCTCCTGCGGGATGTGGCTAACCGCTGCTGGATTAGCAGTGCCCATGGCAGGTTTGTCTCCTTCTTCTCTGTGTTAGTCTTACTCTGGCAAAGCTTGTGTGTGTGGTTTAGTTGCAAAGCTCTGAAAGCCAGAAACGCTGAGAGGAAACAGTGACTTTTCCTTAGGATGGACCATCATGGGCATCGTGCCCAGCTCCTGCTGGCGGAGTTTGGTGCTGCTCCAGCTCTCCTGGATGCTGTCAGGACTCGCAGTGGTGCTGCCACATCCGCACTGGGAAGATGACTTTCATGTCACCAAAGGATCTTCCCTCCTCTCTCCTTCCCCCCAGGACCTGCAGTCTTACTCCTGACTTTGCAGAACTGGCTGAGCCAAACCCAGCAAACACTGAATTACTGCATCCATGTGGCTGTGGCTACGCTAATTAGCTTTATTTAATCAGGAGGTGGTGATAATTGCATTCCAAAGCAATATGTGTACCTGAAGGAGGAGGAAACTAAACACAAAGCAGGCTTGAAAGTCCTATAAACTAAACATAAAGCAGGCTTGAGCAGGAGTATATGGACAGGCTTTATTTTATGTATATATATGTGTGTGTGTATATATATACATATTTATATATGGACAGGCTTTATTACATCCAGTTGTGTAGCCAAATTGATTCAATTCAGTTCCCTTCAGGGTGATCAAATAAACTGAGCTGTTTCAGGAAGTGGATGTGGTACAAATGCAGAAGCAGCAAGGGGATATTAAATGGTGTTTGGTGTCAGGGATAGATGGACATGTCTTGGTTAACAGTGCTTTGAGTTTATTTGTGAGCTGCTGGTGTATAACCAAGCTGCAAGCAGTAGAAGCTTTGAAGGGATGAAGTGAACCAGAGCTCTGGAGATGGGGCCCAAAGAGAAAAGGGATTTTATAAGATGCTTTCAATACTTTGATACTTAACTTCTTAAGAGGAGGGGGTTGTGCCTTACAATAAAACTTTACAGCAGGAACAGTTTCTTCTTTATGAAGTTCTGTAGGTTTATTATTATTTTTTAAACCCCAGAGAGGATTTGGTTTCTATTTTTAGGCCTATGGCATATTCTACTAACGTTGTCATAACAGCTATAAAGAATACTGGGGTTTGTTGCTTTTCCAGCCCTGTTTGACTTGGTTTTGATATCCCATTGAGCACAGATATCGGCATATACCTCAGCAGGAGTTTCAGTGTAGGTTCCTATGAGCGAAGGGCTGCATGAGTCTGTCTTCTCTCCTCGCTTCCCAGTAACAATTGAACTTGGCCTATTTCAGCCAGATTTGACAGCAGGACAAAGCCTGTGCAGATAAACAGTTTAGTGTGAACTCTCTGATATCAGGGGCAGCTTAAGGGAAAAAGCTTTTTGATACCTGTGGTGAGTTGTAAGTTCGTGCTGCCGTACAGACGCCTTTGCCATCTCAGACGTCCCTCTGGCTCCTTGTGCTGGTGGTGATGGGCTGGAGTAACATGTAGGTGTGTCGTGGATGGTGTTCTGGGATGAACCAGCAGCGTCGGTGACTGAAAACTACGGGATAAGTGATTCCTTTATACAGACATCCCAGATTAATTGGTAGTTACAGATTGATTACAGGGCTCTACTGATTCACTAGAGATGCAGTGGTCTTAAGGAAAAATCGGTGGTAAAAATGCTGCAAAATGAGCAGTTCAAGTGAGAAAATGACCATTTTCTAGACAAGGTCCTGAGCAACTGATCTACCTTTGGTTCACCCTGCCTGGTGGTGGTGCTGTGCCTGCAGCCCCCTGCTCAGTGACCTGCTGGTGGCTTCCCATCACCAGCTTTCCTGAAGAGATGACAGCAGCTTTTAGATGGGATTGACGAGGAAAATCTGGATGACACCTTTAACCTCTGCCAAAAGACCACCCAACCCATCCCCAAACCAAAGCCCTGAAGCTTGAGCTTGGCTTTGCACGAGCTGGAGCAGAGCAGAAGCAGATGTGCAGCCACTGCAATGATGGAAATATGTTTCCTATTGGGCAGATCCAGGCACTGGGGCTGGGATCCCCTGGGATTTGAGTCGAGCCACGCTTTCCGAGGCAAGCAGCGCATCAACTTGACGTGCTGTCAGTGCGTCAGTGTGTTGGGGGGCATTTGTCCTCATAAAGCCAGGAGAGGAGCAGAGGGCTTGGCCGTGCACAGGGATGATGCAGTGGGGCTTTCAGCTGCTTACGTTAGCAGGGCTGGAGGGGAAAAGAGCAAACGAGGAGCAGATGGAAGAGCCAAGCTTTGCAGCTGACCTTTCAGTGCAGGAGGATCTTCACGTTATGTGGCTGTTTAATGGAGTCGGTGTATGGAGGGGAGAAGCAAAGGTTGGGTGGTGCTTTTAGCAGCCTTGCCCCTGTCCCTTCCCCTGCCCCATGTGGGGATGGGTTTATGTTTTTATTGCCTTCCAACTCCTCAGCTGTCCTACATCGTGTTTCTTCTCTTTCCCATTGAGATGCTGCATTTGCGGTTCACCAGAACCCGTTCCCTTCCCTCTTCCCATCTACTGGAGAGGCCTTTAGAAGCCAAAGTCTCTGTTTCTTGAGAGTTTCATCTGCCTCTGCTACTCGTCCCTCCCTAAAATCGGTCCCTGCTACACCGCTACGTGACATCCCGAATGCGGGGCTGTCACTTCAAGTGGGAAGAAACCTAAGAAATGAAGTTGATTAATGAGAGGAGTTACTTCATGTGCATGTCTTCATTAATAAAAAGCAGAGCAGAGAAGAGACTTTGCAGGCAAAAAAAGTATGATATGAAACAGAGTTGTTTCCTATTTTATACATTCTCCTTTGAATATTAGCATCTATTTTTAGTTGAGCAGAGTGGTGTTCATTTTGTTCCTCTGGTGTATAAAGTTTGAGTTTTGTAAATCACTCGTGTTGCCTGAAAGAGCCCAGGCGTGCTCCTGACAGTCGCTTGCAATGATGGGAACCTTTAGGCAAGGTGGGGAGAAAAGGCTCCAAGTTCTGCCGGCTTAGAAGTAATGTAGCTTGTTACTCAAAGCAATTCAATATTGAGTATTAGTGTCCTTTTCTAATGATAAGTAGCTACGCCAGATTAATCAGTTAATAGACTTATGGTAGAGGAGAGGCACAAAACAGGCTTTGCTCAGTGCTGGCATGCCTTTGGGGAATAATTGCTCAGACAAAACTGAAATACTCTTGTGCAGCCTGTTCTTATGTTGAGTCTATCTCAAGCTAAGGAGCTGTTGGAGCAAAGCACCTCAGCATCTTCAGAAGCTTTATTCTGGGAGCCCTGCACAGTGAGCTGGTATCTTCCTTTGGCTGCAGTGTTGTAAATCCAGAGTTATCCACTGTAATACAGATAGCTGGAAATTGACTTGTAAGGGATATAAACTCTGCTTTTAATTAATTTCCAAGGCATAAAGTGAAGCCAAATGTCTTTTTTTGAGCTGACGTCTGGGAGATGGGATGGAGAATCACATGCAGAAGGGAAGTTGGCTCCTTGACTCACAGGACCCCAACACAGTGGAGCGCTGTAGCAGTGCCTTTGGTCGCAGCTCCAGAGCTTGGCCCTAACTAACAGGGTT